TCCTCCTGTGAAAGCTTTTCTGACTCCTCACCAGCTCTACAGAGAATAACAAATCTAAGTTGAATAAACCGTGGCTTTCACAGTGAGGACAATTTAGGTCTGACTATTGAGTCGGTGGTACATACATTTAATATTCCTGCTCTTAATATCTACTTAGGAAAAAACGACACTATAGTCACCCTGTGCCAGCTGGCTCTCAGATAGACAGGACATTGTGAAAATAAAACAAGCCAAGCGTGTGCACATTCTTCGTAAGTTAAGGTGTGTGCACATTTTTTGCATCACTTACTGTATGGCTGCACTATTACAACTGTAGTAGGCTACACCATAGTGGATAACAGTACTGATCTCTACTGAGAAATCACTAGTGTGTAAAATTCCTCCTGGGGGTAGAAGGGAAGGGGGGCTTCTCCAGATTTTCATTTACGGTGACTGGAAGATTCCAGAAAGTACCGCTATTTTAAGTTTTAATTTATGACCCACTATAAATCTCCACTGAGTGAACCCCAGGATTACAAAAGTATTTACTATACACTAAGTTAAAGAAGTGCATAGACTTGATGTGAGAGATGCAGTCATTCAGTCATTCCTTTTACAAAATTCTTTATGTCATCCTAGAAATGTGTTTTCTTGTGCAACTTGCAATTACCCACAGCTAGCTATAGCTATCTGCTGCCATCTCATTTTTCTTTGTATAATAATAAATTATATAATACACTCTGAAATTCAGATTAATTCCTTTTAGCCATTTCCTCGCTTATATTTCCAAACAGTTATGCTATTCACAAATCATGAACCCACCTTAACAGGGGTGTTGATGTGTTTCTTGTTAAAATCTGTTGAATCTGGGTTTTAAATAATCCTACATTCAATTGTCTTATCGGTGAAAAGCCAGCACTGTTAAAAGGAAGAAAACAAAAATCAAAATTGTTGGCCATGATGAAAACTGCCCAGTAAATTAACATTATCATAGTATGTTATTGTCATTAAAAGTAATATAGTTTAATTTATCTGTAATGTATTTTAGTAAAAAGATTAGTAAACTTTTTAGAGTTCAAGTTTTAAGACTGCATCCCTCATCAAAGGAGAATTTGGAAGTGTTTCAAGATTTAAAAGGAAAGGGGAAAACGTGGTGGGACAAAAATCTATCAGAGAAACGATCAGATCAAACAAACTAGATAAACCCACATGTCATGGCATCCAAGTCTTGAACCATGAAGTTCTTGTCTGCTTCTAATGTACATTGTATTTGTAAATTTTGTTTTTTGCTAGATAGTTTAGATAGTTTCAATAGAAGAAGAGCTGCCTCAAGGATTCTTTTGAAAGGTGCCATTATTATTATTATTATTATTATTATTATTATTATCATTATTAACTTTGGTCATATTAGTAGCAGGTGACTGCTGTCATGGTAACCACTGTCATGCATGGTAACTTAAATCATGATGACTGCAATCATAGTAACAGCTGTCATGATGACTACAGTCATGGTGACTGTTGTCAAGGTGACTGCTGTTACCATGGTACTGCCAAATGACAGGTTTGAAACAAAGGAAAATATAAATTTGAACTAAAATTGAAACTGAACAATCATATTTACTAAATGATAATCCATTGGGGCTTTTCACTCTAAAGGAAAGTTCCATATGGATCTTTAAAACTCACAAGTTCCTTATTATAGTCACAATACAAAATAAACAAGGAAGATGCATCAAGCTGACCTTTCATAACTTTTCTCTTGGTCTGTTTCTATTGTTGGAGGAGAGGGCACCCTGCTAAGTGGACTACAGACAAACATAGGAAAACATCAGCTCTTATACCAACTTTGACTCAGCAGCAATATTTACTTAAGCAGAGCAAAGTAAAAAAGTGGAAAAAATGACTGAATTAATGACTGGAGGAATTCTGGTCCTTCTACAAGTCTTCAAGATGACTCTTGTTCACATGTCCAATCTATAATCTGTGCTCTACTTACTTGTGATCACTTTCCTGCTTACCTCAAAGGTCTTACAATACATTCCATGTCTGAAGTCAAACAAAGCATTGAGGAGCCAAGGATTCTACTGTTTACCACACAAACACCTAATACTGGAGATGATGAACTGCAAAAGTACAAGCATAAACAAAATGAATGCACATACACCTGGAAAAAAAAAGCACTTAAACTGATTGTTAAGGTATTGAGCACAAAAGTACTAATTGAGGACACTATTTTTACGTCTAAATTAGAGTATAGACCATGAAACATATTATTGTTGTTGATTTGTTAAATTGACGACAAGATAAAAGGGACAAACAGGAAAAAACAGGGGGAGACAGGTATGGATATTACATAAAGTAAATAAAGTCTAAGTAAATACCTTGATCCTGCTGGGGATGTACAGATCATGTGATATACTATGGCTGCTTCATCAGGATCAAAATTACTCTGACCATCTATAAAAGAGAATATATAATGAAACTACCAGTTTGATATCCACCTGGAAAGATTATACTGTTGACCATTGAATTCTGATCAACTTTAGTGACTGATTCTCTTCTAATTTCTGTTTGTTTGTTAATTTGTTTGTTTGTAGAACGAAGGCTTAATTTGAGAGTAAGGGTAAAAGAAAGTTTTAAAGGGCCTTTTTCATCAGCCTGTACTGTGATGAACAGCAAATAATGAAATTATCCAAGGAAAAAACCTGTGGGAGCAAGGGTACTGCAGTAGTGAGAACAAGAAACTACTGTTACATTACATTACATACAGACTTTCTAAAGGTCCATTTGGGTAGGGTCACCATCACTTCTTGCTATTTCATTACCGGTTTTTCAATTTTGTAGCTCAAAGAAATTAACCTGTGAGCAAGTTTATACATCACATTAATTACCTTGTGCACAAAAACCTTGTAGTTTCTTAACCCATGGCAGGGATACAGTGTGTACGCCATTTCTGTGTGAACAGTGATATTGGTAAGGAGACGCTGGATCTGCAAGGAAACATGTAAAAATAAATCTAAAAAAATAATTCATGGATTATTCTCTTCTAGCAGAGGCAGCCTCAATAAATTATTATTAAATTATTATGCCTTTCCTGAGGTAAAGAATAAATGGTTGATAAAAGCTGGGATACAGTAATTTGGTCGTCCCAAACAATAATATAGATTGAAGCATATGCTAATAGGCAAGTGTTTGATAACATAAAATAATGACGCTGTTGATGATGATGATGATGATGATGATGATGATGATAAAAATGTTTATGGTGGTTGTGTGCAGGGTGCAAAGAAAGTCAGTTTTACAGCCTGCCATTCGGGCAAGCTATAGATAGCATATACTAGCCCACAAGTCATTTCAACTAGCCCCAAAACCCTTTTTGATTAGCAGGATTGATAATAATCCTTCTGTAATTTGAATTTCCCCAAAAAACAGCACTTGCCCATTGGGCAAGTTAAGAACAAAAAACACTAGCCCGATAGGAAAATCCACTAGCCCAGGGCTATCGGACACGACTTTCTTTGCACGCTGGTGTGATAATGAAATGATGATGGAAAACTAGCAAAAACCACCAACCTATCGTGAACATTTCACAATTAGTTTCGAATAGCTTTATACCTTGTTGTAGTCTCAAAACTAATGGGTCTTCATTTTCATCTGAGTCATCTTCAGTAGAACTCCTATCTGACTGAGATTCTGTTGTATCAGGCAAGATAGACATCTGCAGCTCAATGCATTCATTAACATAAAGAGAAAGCTTGGGATGACTATCATCAGTTGTGTCAACTCCATGTCTGTTCCAAGATGCAATTTCCTAAAGCAAATTCAATGTAGAACAAAAGTTTTTAAACCTTCTAAGCCAGGCTAAAACCTGGGGTTCTAAAAACACTTCTGTATAAATGAGCACAAAGGTTGTGATTGCCTAGCAAAAACTACAACCTCAAACAAAACTCTTGAGACGGTTACATCTATTTTCTAATTTTGCACCATAAACAGTCTTCTCTGAACAGAAGCAAAGACACCCTGTCCCCACACCCTATTTGATGCTGTTTTGGTGTAAAAACCAATACGAAAGCCCAATAAGAAAGTGACCAATAATCTGTTATGTCAAAACTAACCTCTTCAGGGTCAAAGGCCTCTTCTGATTCTAGAATAATACAGTGATAAATTTTTCCACTCCCTGTTCCCATGGCAACAATGGGAGGCTGGGAATGTAGACAGAGCAAAGAACAGGCATCAAGTCCGTAATTATCATCTGCCGCCGGATACATAGACAATGGGCCATTCACCTGTGCTAGTTGATGCCTGAAAGGAAATAATAATATATTTCCTAAACTATTTTGTGTTGCCAAATTATAACCCTTTAAGCCCTAATATTGACATACAAATTCTCCATATTGATCTTCATGCATTGCCTAAACGATTTAGCTGAGAGAATTTGATAAAAGACTGATCATTAAGCATTTTCCCTTAGATGATCATTTTATTAACTCTCATAGCGTTTTCTCTTGATAATTTACTGCTAATGTAAGGAGAAAATTGATCTTGGTCACTTTTGACTCAAAGGATTAACATGGACACAGAAACAATAAACCTTTCTTTAAATTTCCAGACATGTTTTGTCAGTACATCTGACATCATCGGTGTTCTGTAGTTTCAAATGATTGATGAATTTAATAAATCACGTATGATATGTTACTTATAAAGTTCATTACATTGTATTGGTAATATTCCCTACTTAAAGTTAAAATGACGTCAGGACACAGTTGTTCAAAAGGTGGATAGTAATATCCACCGGATTAATCACTATCCAGTGGATAAGTATTTGCGAAACCAATATTGTGCTATCCACTGGATAGAGATTCATCTGGTGGATAGCCCTATCCACCTATTGATCAACTGGGACCTGGGGCGCGTTTCTCAAAAGTCCCGATAATTAATGGGCCCACAAAACTGTTGTTGTTTACATGCAAGATAGAGGTTTCAATAGGTTGGCATCAAACATGATAAAATCATCAGTTAATGAAACAAAATGAGGAAGTTTGCTAGTCAGGACCTGCACTTTTATTCCCTATATTTCAATTTGAATATTTGATTTTGGGCCCGAAAAGTTACCAAGACTTTTAGGAAACACTTCCCAGGGGACTAACAGGGAAAGAGTCAAACAACAGTCAGTCAAAGACAACACACCTGCTTGAGGAAATTTTGTGAACAAGGTAGTAGACGTCTCCATTTTCTCTCAGAATAAAGATAGGATGGGCTACTTCTACATCAGTTTCACTAGATCTGTAGCTTCCTTTCAAATCAACAACATTAACAGCTGGTGCAAAATCAAAGGCAATGGCAGTTTCTCCAAGGGCTGCTGAAAATGATGACATTGAACCAACAGACATGGACTTTCTGCTGTACTCTGCAGTCATTGATGATGATTCTCCTAAGGGGATTAGTTCTTCTGGAGAAGTTGGTTTAAGTACATTGTAGAGTCTGTATATGATACAAATGGATAGTAACAAAGAAAATGTATGGATAAATAATTTTATTTTAATTTTATTATTAATCATGTTATAGGTTGGAATAGGCCACTTTTGAAATAATTACATATATTAAAATTCATACTTGGCTTCAAGGCTGAGGGGTATAAACAAAAGAAAATACATCGAGATATAGTAATAAATTATAATAATTCATTTCTTTTGTTTTGCTCCTCTCAATCTCAGAGCCAAGTGTGAATTTCATAGGATATTAAATTCAGGTTATAATAATTTTTTAACCTGCAGATAGGTTGACTCTCAATTTCCATTGTCTCAGAACCCTTATTAATACTGAATTACTATAAGGCTAGGAAAAAAAGTAATGCAACTGCAATGGAGTGTTTGAAACAAACCACACACACTCAGTGGAAGACACATGTATGGGTGTGTGTTCCAGAACACCACAATGGAATGGTCGCTAAGATACTTTCATATTGATACTTCCACTTCTCATAACTAGTTTTAATGGAAAATTTTTTTGGGAGAGGAAAAGTAATATTGGATTTGAAGGTTTAACATAAAGAAAATATAAGTGTCGTAGGTCAAAAAGAAATTCAGGTTAAAATGATTTCAACCTGCGTTGATTCTCAATGTTTATTTTCCTTTGTCTCCCATCCCTAATTATTCCTGAAGATAAATAATTAGGGTGTAAGAAACAAAGGAAACTGGAAATAAATCTAATGTTAATTGAAACCATTTTAACTTGAATTTCACTTTGACCTTCGACATAAGCATCAAGGACAATACCTCAAATTATTATCTGATGTAAGAACCATAAGGTGAACATCTGTGTGGCTTCCAGGGTGCCACTTAACATCAAGAACTTTGATCTTTTGGTGAGTAACAAAGAATCTTGCATCAATTGGAATTGTTCTAAAAAGGAGAAAAATAAATTATTATAAAAGAAAATGGTGATGAAAGGGTTTAAAGGAAAACAACCATTAAGTTCATTTGTAGGTGAGTCTTTTTTATTATTTCTGAATTATTTTCTGCTGTACCATGTATCTTAATGATAATATTATTGTCCTAAATGCATAGTGCAAACTGTTCATGTTTACCATTATTAGTAATTTTTGAAATAACAAAATAATCAATATCACATACCGTGCTTCAATGGAATGAAATTTGAATATTTCCAAGGAATTTCCTTAAGCTACAGTAAGCCTCTCATAGATGGGATGCATGAAAAAAGGCCCTGACTGACTTTTGATCTCAGGTCAAATTCTTCCATTGTGGCAAAGGGCATTTTTTTTGCAGGGAGAATCAAGAAATTTATCAGAAGTCCCTTGGGTTGGACAATTCATTCAGGGTACTTGATGGCTCCTGGGACCACCCATGTCTGTAGATTTATGGGGGAGGGGGCAGTGGAGAAAGAGGGAAACCCTAGCCCCACTCCAATTTATAATAATAAAGTATCTCCTAAGGATGTTGGAGGTCGTCCTGAGTAAAGATTACCTGCACATAACTGATTGTTCTCCACCATCATATTCAGCAAACTTGCCCCACCTTATCGGCATCTCAAGAACTACTATTCCTCTTTCTCCTATGAGAGCAAGATACTTGGAGGATGGGCTGAACAGCATAGAATCCACGTCAAATAGAGGAGCTTCAGTGCAAACAAAGATCTGTTGACAAGAATCAATGTTTTCAAGAAGTCAATGCATCACTCAGTCAGCTTGTCACTTTCCTACCACCAACGAGTACTTGCATTAGTGATTAAAGCCAAACCACAGCATTTTAAGTCTAGAGGATTAGAGTGCCACTTTGCAAATCAGTCAATCAATTTACCAATCAATTAATCAGTAAGTCAATCAATCATTCAATCAACCAATCATTCAATCAGTAGACCAATCAATCAATCAATCAATCTGTCAATCAATCAGTCGATCAATCAGTCAACAAATCAGTCAGTCAGTAAATCAATCAATCGATCAAGCAAACAATCAATCAATGAAATAAGAAATACAGTGTTCACTTACTTGGAATTTATCAGCGCGTTCATTATCAAAATGGAGGTTCTTAAGGTTTGCAGTCAGCAAGCTGCTTTTGGCCGACTTCCACACAAATAATTCACCGTCATTCTCGAGAAAAATATTCTTCGTTTTACTCTCTTTAGCATCTTCTGCTGTTTGCAAGCAATTATCTTCATCTTTGTTGCGAAGTTCTCTAAAAACTGAGTGATCAGGTAAACGATTTTGCCATGTCGATGTCATTTCTTCCTCTTCCCTTGCCGCCATTTTGACACTTGAATGAGGGGGATTGGGAAGGAGCAAATGCAATACACTTTACATGAAGTAAAATTGAGCCTCAGTCCGAATTGATAACAGGCTCAACAAGTACGTGTCCAAGATGGCGGCAGAGGTACCTTTTTTCGAGAGTCTCAATTTTCAACCAGTTAAGTGCCCTGAATTTGTTTTCTATCCATTTTTCTGAATGATTTTGGTTATTTAAATAGGTAATTGAAATCCTCAAGAAGTGTGCCGTCAAGATAACAACATCTAGCACTAAAGAAAGGAGATATATTTGCGAAGAACTCCTCGTTCCTTGCATTAAAAGAGATGGTGAGTAATATTCCTTTCTGATACCATGATTTTACGGGCCATTGTTCCTTGAATTGTATTAGTTTGATAGAGTTTTGTCATGGTGTAGAATTGTTGTAAGATCGCGTGCATACGGTCATTAAGTAATACACAAACAGACGATGTTGTTGTTATGCGTTGGTTGTCACGTGGTCCATATGAAGGTATTGCACCACCAAAAATGAGGAAAGGAATTTTCGATTTTTTTAAAGGTGTGCTTCTTTCCTGTCTCAAAAACTAATTTTGTCTTCAGTTCTAGCAATTTATTTATTTAGTGTAAGTTAGTGTAATAAAAATGCATAAGTTACCTGCAAATATTTTACAGTTGTTCATGCTGGAGGGGGGAGGTAGGGAGTTCATTTTCCTGAGCGGATGTTTTTCTAGTAGATAAATATTTATCTTTTGGAAAGGTCTGTCAAACGTTTCAACAAATGAGCCTGTTTTATAGTAATGAAGACCTACTACTGGCACCAGTTGTTCAAAAGGTGGATAATACTATCCAGTGGATAGTGCAATAATAATTGTTATTGGTTTCCCCAACACTTATGCACTGAATAGTGATTTATCGGGTGGATATTGCTATCCAATGTTTGAACAACTGGAGCCTTTACTAGTCTTAAGTGACCAGGGATGTAGCTTAAATTTATAACAGACGGGAAATGGCATTTGATAGGCATGTGATATGAGAAGAAAACAGTTGCAATTTTTATCAGCCAGAAAAAATACGTTGAGAGTCCGGTATTTTCCCCGGCTCCCGGCTACTATCTACATCCCTGAAATTAGTCCAATTTTAGTCTTGTTCTGATATAGAAGAGGAGCAAAATATTATGTAGAGGTGGCTAGATGAATAGGATTTTTGAGGCAAGACATAGTGTTAATTTCTTCTATTCTGTAGATTTTTCTGAGGCTGGAGTGAAAGCAGTGATCAAACTGATTTACTTGACTTTGCACTGTTACAGGTAATTGATATTCTTGTTGTTTCAATAACTGGTTAGTCTTTGACTGCCAGTAAGGAATGTGGTTAATGACCACTAATGGATGAGGGGAAAAC